CTGTGAAATAATCGAAAAATAAGATCTTGGATAACATTTTTTTTTACATAGAAAAAAGTATTTTATGTTCAAGGCTTTTGTATTGACAACAATACGGTTTAACAGTCGACGGGCAATTATTTTACGAAAAAGTCAAAAAATCATGTGAAGACAGCACAATTGCCAACAGAAACAATGAAAATCAGAATCGTTTACTTCTTATTCCTCATCTCTTCAATGGTCTGAAACAATAGTACCACGGATCGCAGCGATCTCATACAATAAATCAGAAACTAGGACAGGAATTTTATAGGAAAAAGTCAGGATTTGGACCCGAAAATCAGGACTGTTTGTTAACATCACCCTAGACATAAAAAATGTGGATGACCCGTCACGAGAATGTATAACCATCTGCATCTGCTCTCAGTGGTGTACTAGGGTGTGGATGTGGGTATGAGTGCTGGTTTGGGTGTAATATTCTATTTGCTTACGCTCACGCTCAAACCCACAGCCACCCACACTCACCCTTGTGATTTCTTGGTTGTATTGGAAAATTAAAAGGAATGGGGATACCAAGGACGTTCCTAATCTGGATAGAGAATTAGTTGAAAGCGAGAAAAGCATTTATTGAGATTAAAGGCAAGCGCTCGAGATAGTTCAATGTTCTCAAAGGTTGTCCGCAAGGCTTAATATTGTCACCGCTATTGTTTATTCCTTATCATTGCGATCTTAGTGAATCACTAGGTTGTTACCGAAGTCACCTGTTCGCAGACGATCTTGCAGCACTATTGGCTGGAAGTATCGGAAACAAATATTCATCGTAACGTCTAGAACTTGAGAGAAAACTATCAGTGTTTTTTGAAAACTTGGGATGCTACTGTACATTAACAGCCCAACCAATAAATTACAACAAGACCTAGGCACTATTCTCTACTATAGCGACAGCGGACTCGAACATGAAATTAGTATGTGGTAATCACAAAATTGAATGGGTCAAGAAAGTAAAATACTTGGGCGATCTGTTTACTCTAAAACTACGATTTGGTGCCATGATCCAGAAGACAAAGCTTAAAGCTTGTCAAAGAATTGCAATGATTAACTCATTTTGTCTGCAAGCTTTTACATGTCCAACAATAAGAAAGGATCCTCTTCAATTTCTATATCCTTCTTATCTTCGTTTGACTCTTCCTGCTGTTCCCACTATTCACTTCGAAACAACTATAGGATCTGAATGAATTTCACACACGATGTTTGCGAAGAGTAATGTTTTGTATGCATTGGAGTTCAAATCTCTTTATGTACGCTGCAAACGAGCTGTCGCTCGAAGACCGATGTAAAAATATTGGGGACGTTATCCATCTGCGTGGTCAAATACAATAGATGGTTCCTTGATTTTTGAACAGAGCAATCACAAAGTACTTAGAGAAAATTGGCTGCATGGGGAGACCAAAATAAATAGGATCCATCGCTCCAAGAGATTCGTCGAGTAAACATCAGCCTTTGAAAAATGCACTTCCTGGTGCGCAAGCATCCTCTCGAATAATTCCAACCTTAACTATGATCCTGAAGAAGTTGTCACATTATATACGTTTTCTGGAACTTTTTAAAAGATGCATTTTTCTCGCTTTCGTTCTCACTCCCGTGTTTATTTTTCCTTTTGTCGCCCCGAGCTTTCCAATAGATAGCTTCAATTAGACATAAATCAGCAAAATGTGACGCAAATATAAAGTATGAAAGGAGTGGGCGTGGGTATGGATGTCGGTGTTGATGAAGAGAACAAAGACACCCACAACCATCCGCAATTTAAAAGTTCGATATATCAATAGAAGATTTCCGTCACAGATCGAACCAGATCAAAAAGGCACAAGGAGAATATTGTTAAACTCGAATGTAAGTTAAACTCAGCAAGCATTTACACTAAAATCTTTTTCTGAGTTCATTTCGGATTTTCGTACAATTTTTAATTTTGAATTCATTCATAATCGGTTCAGGTCACCACAATCGAAGTTGTGTTGCGACCGACAATATAACGAGAAAAATTCTTTCGAACTTCATCTCAATTTTTTCGCCGATTTTTCTCATCGAATTTCGGTTATCTATAGATTCTACTCAATAGACTTCTGAGAGAAATTATTGTAATTAAATTCAAGTTTAGATATGGCATACATGATTAGTTGAATATCAGAAAAATCAAAAAAACTTTTATTATATGAAGAACATAGAAATAAATAAAAATTTGTAATATATGACGACTCAAATGGATGAATTCGAAATTTGATTCATTTCTATTTGAATTCATATATTTATTGTCTTCTTCTTATTTTGTTTTGTATCATTTGTTTAGTAGCATGACATTGATATCGAAGAACACGATAAAGCATTTCAATGAACTCCATTATTGATAAGAAACTAATTCCAATCCATAATCCTGTATGACCACCGACGTTTGAAAGAACGTCAACTGGGCCAACGGATGCTTCCTGTGTGTAATTTTCTACTTCAGTTGATTGACATACAACTTCTAGTCCAACATAATTATTTTGAACTTCTGATAACCAATTCGTTAACCAGTCTGTAGGTGTTACATTACGGCGAGATTCAACAAGCTTTTTAGCCATATACGCATATTCTATAGATGGCGCTGATGCTGAAGATTTTGTAATTATAAAATCAACAGTGGAACACCCTTGAGTGCAATGTGAACAAAACTGATTCCAAATTGATATTGTGCTTGAAATTCTATTAGTAGCATTCGAATAGCATTTGTTAGCAAACTGACAAAGTTGTGCTTCAAGAATTGTTTTTTTATCAGGCAAAACAACTGATCGAGCTGACCATTCTTCTGGATTTATACATCCACATTGTTCATAACTGAGGAAAAACAAAATATTAAATATCACTTTCTTGATCACATAGTTTTGTATCACTTACATATATGCTTGAATACAAAGTAAATAACACACACCTTGTGAATATGCATAATCAGCGCCTCCATATCGATTGTACATTGCCTGCATTACAAGAGGTACTTGATTTGTACATTCTGTATATGGTGAAGATAAAAAGTTGATTTGTTTTTTCTTGTAACCAAGTTTATGTTTTCGTCCTGGTGTAAGTTCAATGCCAGCTACATCAATAAGTGGTAATTGTGTATTGTCATGAATCATAGCAACCATTCCAACAGTTACATCTATTTTCAACGAGAGAAAACGTAGATTTTTTTCAAGAAACATGACTGAAACGAACCTCTTGCAACATGTGGAACATACAGATCACTGTGTGCATAGAGACGTAATATAAGCTTTCCTGAGCCTCCACCATCATTGGTTTGTCGAATCTTACTTTTTTTGATATCTTTTATTTTTGCATTAAATGTATAGCAAAAACCATGTTTAGACGACAAAAAAAAAGTGAAATCGTCTGTTGTACATTTCTGATTATTGTATAAACATTCTATTAGCATGAATTCAAGAGAAAATAAATATTCATCCATTGATTCATTTGCATGGAGTTTATCTCGTAAAAAATTATAAATTTCATTAGCTTGTTCTCCAGTAAATATTGTTGTATCATTTGTATTGGTTACATTAATTGAATTTGTATAATTTAAAAAAGGTGAAATAAAAGTATCATAACGAAGAGGTGAATAATTACAAATGGTAACTGCCGGAAATGTTTGTGATTGTTCAACAACAACGGATACTGATGTTTGTGTTGGATATTGAAAATAGTTTTGAATCGATTCAGTCACAAAATAGATCATAACACCAGTAAAAATGAGAAATGATAAAGTCCAAAAGATACAATTGTGTTTACTTTGACTACGTGCAATACCAGGTAAACCATGAGTGGATGTACTCAAAGCAAATTCTCGAACAATTGAACTACGTCGTAGTTTTGATGCTTCTGGTGTCCATTCTTCTTTAGCCATGGGAATAGTAATTGGCATAGTAATGTTGACTGACTTTGACATTGCTCGACAAAACAATATTCAAGACACTCTATGCTGTATATGCGATAATCAGAGAGTAAATAATCTAAAATGACGGGGATGTAGCTCAAAATTATATACTCCGTGGTTGTAACTGAATATATTTCATTGTTAGAGAAGATATACATATGACT